TATATATATATATATATATTAAGTATGAATTTAACATTATATTAATTAAATTATAAAATTGAAAAAGTATAAAATAAAATATGTTATATATGATAAAACAAAAATTTAAGTTATATTTAAATATAAATAATGTTAATATAAATACATTAAATGTATAAATTTGAGAAGTATATAATAATCATCAAATTGGAAGATATAATCCAACATATAATTCATATCTCATTCATTAAATATGCTAAATATAAAAGAATGAGAGAATCATGAACACATATACAACTATTTAATATATTAATATTACAATTTTAAAGGCATCACTCATAAAAAAAATTAAAGGATATTTATATATTGCCTTATAATAACTATTATTATAATACTTGAGTAACATTCAAATTACCTACCCCTTGATGAACTCTTGAATATCATTGATGGTGACTCAAGCTCTAAAAATATTGAGATCATCTACTAAGATAAAATAGATTTGCAATGATATTAATAATTTATTATGGGATACTATGTGATAGATTTTGTTTTATTTTAATTATTATACTATTTTTACTTTGTATTATTTTTTATTTTGCATATTTCAAGTTTTATATTTCATGATTCACAGTTCACATGTATTTTTAAGAAAAAAATATATAGAGGATTCATATTATTCTTTAATTTCTCTTATATTAAATAGAGTAAATATAGTATTTTTTTTGTCTAAAAAATAATTCGTATAAAATCATACATGACAAACCAAATTATTTTTGTGATATTAATTTATTTTATAAAAATATTAAATATAATATTTTAATTTTTTTTAAGATAGCAAATAATTTGAAAATAAAACAAAGTATTTAAACTTATAATAATTTTAAAATAAATAATATAATAAAATAATTTATTAAAAAAAACAAATATGCCTCTTATATATTTTATACATATCAACAATTTTAATAGCTAATTTTACTAACACTTCAAGTTAAATTATAGCTACCTTATATTTTCAACCATCTATGTAAGCTCATAGGAGTATTTGCTAGCTTGTATAGTTATATACAATCAACTAGTTGATTTGCCAATTTTTGTCAAATAGCTAGAGGCAAAATCTTTATTCTCTTCTAAAAAAATTAAATAGTGACTTTTCCTTCTTTTTCTCTTCCTAAATTAGACTACATAAGGAAGTTTCTCTTCTTTTTTTTTTTTTTTTCTTCTTCTCTCTTTTAAACTAAACACAATGTAAATATTAAAATGTCAACGTTAATGGAGATTAAATACATGTATTTTTATAAGTAATTTCGTTTTAAACGCTGAGTGTCTAGTTTTTTTTTGGGGTAGAGCTTAAGATATATTTAATCAAGAATGAAATATTAATCTTTTAAAATAGGATCTCTGGACAGGCATTCTTCTGTACACACAAAATTGAAAAACAAATCTTAACTACATATAACTAACAAGATCTAACACAACTAATAGATACAACTAAATTCGATGCATGGTAAAAGAAAAAAAAAAAACTTAATCACATAATTAAAGACATATAGTTAACTGCTAACACTGTACCAGCTTGTTATTTGGCTTCGCCACACTTTTCAAACATTATGTTAATATCCATTTTCGCTTCCATTGCGATGGTATTTGTAACGAGAGAATTTCTATACTATATTTATTAATTATCAACACGAGTTTTACATTTTTGGCATCCTTATAAATGAACTATTTCAACAGGAAAATTTATAAATTAAGCCCAAGCATTTGTGAGTTATAAATTTATATTTGGAATATGAACAGAAGCTTATTTAATATATCCGGCTATAGGTATTGTTGGATTGGATAGGTGCATTACTTGTACAATAAAGTCTTACGCTATGCAAAAATGAATTTGGCATGTAACGGTCGCACCTAACGTAAGTGTAGGAGTAGTCCATATGCTCAGGAATTATTTTACTGCATTTATTTTCTTTTTTAGAGTTTGCTCGGGTGAAATTAATGGCGTCACCTACACTCTTCACCAGATATTCAAACCTTGCGAACCACTTTCTCACCAGAAAAAATTGCTACCGGATATTTTCGTTCTAGACTTGGGAATCAGGGCATAACGTATCTTTGCTTAATTGGTGCAGACATGGGCCATCACAGTAGCAGAGGATTAGAACTGTCAACTGTGTGACAAACTTAGATATGATTTCATCTTAATATTTTTATAAAATAATGTTAATTTAATAAGTATTAATTAACTTTAATTAAAACATTAGCCCATCAAATCCAGAAAGTGAAGTCTATCGATAGTTTCTGCTTCTCACTTTTTTTTGTTTGGTTCTTCCGACGTTAAAAGCAATTAAAAGGAAAAGACTAGCCCTTTTGCCTCTCTCGAACTAAAAGGCAAAAGCCAAACCAAACACACTGCTAACCTTCTTTTCCGTTTATATTTTCTGTTTTGGCCAAATTTAGCTTGTTCCTCCAGCTTCCCAAGGAAAGCAAAAGAAAGAAAAAATAGAAGGGATCTTTAAACTTGAAGAGGAAAGAGTTTGAAAATGATTTTGTTTTGTGTTAATAAATATGTATTATTAGCGAAATTATAGATGATAATCCAGGTTATATATTTTTGTCATGTTTTTAATGAATATTTAATTTTGATAATCCTACACGTGAAAGAAAAGAAATACGTTGAGTCTAGAAAAGGGAACATGAAAATGCGTTGTGGGCTTTTAATAAGGAAACCGGTCAGGTGCAGTTTGAATTCTGACAATGCAAGTGGCAGCATGAACATGAATGAATACTTTTCATGCCATTAACCGGATGGAAAAGCAGAAACGGATAAGTTAAGCTTTGCTTCCTGACAAATTTCTAGTTTCCAGATAATCTTTACTCTTCCATTTTTTTATCTTAAATATTTTTAAATTTAAGATAAATTTATTTTTATTCTTCAAAATTTAATTAGTATTATTTCCATCACTATATTACAAATGCAATATCATATTTTAAATAAAAAGTTTCTTGAAAATGTAATTTTTTTAGTTATACGTTATTTTATTATATGATTTATTTAGGATAATTAATTAAGATTTTATGCTGTCAATTTTGTAATAGCAAATAACTCACACTACCCTTTTCGTATTTTTAACTTTATTTTTATGGAAAATATCAAATTAAATCAATCATCGAGAGTTAGTTTTAATAATTTAAAAAATAATAATTTTTCATCAAGAGAAAAATATTTGTAATATGAGAAACATGGTAAATAATTTCGTTCTTGATAAAATTTAATATTTTTAATTATTAAATCTTCGTACTTGAATCTTATATATGCACAAAATTTTAAGATATCGCTATAAATTTTGCTGATTAAAAAAATGAAGCATGCACTATTAAATGTTTGGAATAAATGTTTTACAAACTCAACTAAAACATTATTATTTTTTATGAATAATATTTGTGGCATCTACTACCTGAAAAATAAGTTTAAAGCTTAAAGTGAGTTTTGACTTTTAGAACTAATACATTTATTTTGTTTCATAAAAACTGTATAAAAAAAAAGTGTTGTGTTAGTTATTTTTTTATTTATATTTTTAATAATAGTTTTTAACAAATATTTATTGTGTTACTCATTTTTAACAAGAAGATTAGTTATAAGATTAATTTTATAAAATTATTATTTTCTTTTTATTTTATAAAATAATTAAAACAACAATTATTTTGGAATAGAAAAAAAATATAAAATTCTAATTGTTTAAGAAAAAACAAGGGAGGTGAAATTCTCATAGGTACATTTAAAAAATATATGTTTAAATATATTTTTAGTCTCTTAAATTAAATTTATTTTAAGTCCTTCAAATTTAAAATGATCTTTTTAATTCATGTAACCTTAAAAAAAATTTATTTTAATTCATATATTCAAAAAAATTTAGGAAATTTTTCAAATACTATAATATAAAATCTATCTACTAATATTCTTATTAGTGAAATCACATTAAACTTCTGATACTGTATAACTATTTTAATATATACTTATATATATATTATATATA